GATGGGCTGAATGGCCTGGTTTTGCTGCTGTAACTCGCTATGTCATTGTAATCAGTACGGTGCTGGTGTAATTTTATTTCCTATATGCAATGTCTTGTATTTATCTATATTTAATTTTATTTACCAGTTATCGGTCTATGTGCATTCTCTATCAAGCTCTCTGTGTAAGATCATTTCTGCCTCTTTGGATTTAACAGTGCCCCTCAACATGCAAATTGTCCACTGCCAAATTGACTAATCTACATTGGGTCTAGAAACCAGGTTATTAAAGTATACAAGGAGCAGGAGATACAGCCCTCCGAGTCACCCCAATTAATACCTCACCCATTTTGAACTAACTCCCATATTGGCAACCTTCCGCTTCCTTCCCGTCAACCAATTTTGAATCTATGTTCAGGTCTTGATAATAATAATCATAATAATAATCCTTGCATTTGATGCAGTGCTTTCATGTCAGGAAGATGTCTGAAAGAGCTTCACAGGATTTTATTGTAAAGTGGAATGACTATGTTTTTGTGGGCAAATACAGCAGCCAATTTTAGTTTGGGCCACTGTAGGCCAGGAAACTGGGAGAAACTCCTGCCTGTCTTGAATAGTCATGTATCATACACATCCACCTGAACAGGCAGATGTGGCCTTAGTGTAATTTTGCATCTGATGGACCCCAGTGGCCTCAGTTTGTGAAGGGGTCATTCATGTAGTATTTTGTCAAATGCCTTTTGGAAGTCTGGATACACTATACCACCACCACCACAACAACTTGCACTTATACAGTGTTCTCCACCCAGGGCAGCGACTCAGAGCGCTTAAATGGCTTCCACCATGTGGCTTCTCACATTCAATTTGTGCTGTCACCTCCTCCTCGTCGTGTGTGAGGTTGGTCAGACAGGACATGTGAAGCAGTGCTGACTATCATACATTAGGTTACAGCTGAGGCCGCTGGTGTGAGCAGGCGGGGAGGTTGCAGAGTTGGAATCAGAGGCGAGGAGCTGCTGGTGGAGCCAATCAGGCTTTGATTTTGCTGACAACAAAGTAAAGAACTTACAATTTGCCAGCACTCAAAACTATTCATAAATAATTACAAAAACAGAAGTCACTGGGAACATTCAGCAGGTCAGGCAGCATCTATGGTCCTCGACCCAAAACATTGACTCACTTTCCTTTCTCCACAGATACTGCCTGACCTGCTGAGTGTTCCCAGTGACTTCTTTTTTTGTTTTCATATTTCCACCATCTGCAGTATTTTGCGTTTTGTTTCATAAATAATTACTGTCAGGTGAAGTGACTGTTTTTGTAGTCAAATACAGAAGCCAACTTTGCAAATAGCGAAATCCCAGAACACAGTGATCAATTAGTGACCAATTAATTAATCTGGAGGTTTATTTGCCTGGACACAAACAGTAACTCCTTTCTCCTTCTGGAAGGTCACCTCAAGTGACCTATCTCACTGCTCACCGAAGCTCGTGACCCACTCCATCCCTAGGCATATTCAACAACTACTTGGGTAGAATCCCGGAGCACATGGCAATGGCGGAGTCTGACCCCAAGCCAGGGGGGAGAGGGAAGGGGAAGGTGACCGTAAGTACGATCAAAAAGAAAGGTCTTTAGGTGGGATTTAAGATGCAGAGGAAGAAAGCAAGGCCGAAAGATTGAGGGAGGAAGTTGCAGAGTTTCAGGGTGTAGTGGCTGAAGGCACGGCCACTGATGGTGGAGCGGAGGGTTTGCCAGCCGAGCGGGGGCAGCGGGTGGTGGAGTGGGGAGTAAGCAGGTCAGATAGGTAGGCAGGTGCCAAGGCAAGAAGGGATTTGAAAACGAGTGTTCTTATAATAAATAATAATAACCTTTGCATTTGATACAGCGCCTCATCACATCTTCGAGATGTCTCAAAGCACTTCACAGAGTATACTGTAAAGTGTAGTGACTGTGCATTTTGTCAGTGATCACGAGCTGCTTAACTAGTGCACGTTATGGCAAAAAAGCACAGCCTTTTGCTTAAAAACAGAAACGTTTATTTAAAGTGGCAATGATTAGTTATGAAGCTCAATAGCAGTTTTTGTGCAAAGAATCTCTTACAGGAGATACCAGGTATCTGTGAAGATTGTTTACATGAATCATATATGTGAGTAGACAAACTTTTATATCAAATACGTTATACAGTAATAATATAATTTTCACTCAAGTATGGTTTGTTAATCAAAATACCTATGTATGCAGTGATTTAAAGCAGTACACTAGATTCTGAAGAAAGATATATTTGATTCAAGTATACAGTATCATTTCTCCTTCATTTCGCCCACAAATATAGTCAATTCACTTTAAAGTATATTCTGTGAAACGCTTTGAGACGTCGGGAAGACATGGAAAGCGCTATATCAAATGCAAGGATTATTATTATTATTTTGGTTACATAGAAATCTTGCTGTAGGTATAACTCAGCCAGTAATAACTCCCTATTTTATACCATCTATGAAGCTTAGCCCACTGGATGCTATCAGGCCCGCCCTCACATCCCATCATCATTTACGTCAGATATGTATTTTGTACCCTGTGCACCGACAGAAACTTGTTGAAGACAAGAAACTTAATCTGGGTCTAGATTTGCTCAATTTTTCTCAGCAGTTCACAGTCTCCAGAATTTGATGAATAATAATAATAATCCTTGCATTTGATATATTGTTGAATTCTGGGTTATTCTTGAAACCGGTCAGTTTTTGGTAGTTTTAAAAAGAATCGGATTCAAAACCTGCTTCATAATTAAGGCTGTATTTAAGCATTTACCAAATTCGGAATAATCTGAAATGCTACATAATCTAAGCCCTGCTGGAATTTCCACCCCTATATTTTATGTTCTATAAAGTGTTTGGTCTCAGTAGTACGCCTGACTGAGTGCTTCAGGTCAAATCTCTGTCTGTTTGCTTGAGGGAAGGCCAGGATTTCACAGAGTATGATGCTGTGATGATTCTGTATATCTTCGTAAAGAAAACCTTGATTAGCAGAAGATAGAATGCAAATTGTTACTGACCCTTAGTTGACAAACTCCTCATTTTGTGCTACATTGTTGAATAAAACCAAATGAGTCTCCATTGCGGTCAATACTTTCCTTCAGATAGTTTGAGCTTTGCCATTTTTATATTCCTGTCCTCCTCTAATTTACATGTTTGATGTTAACAACACATTTGTCCGGGGGGGGGGGTACGGGCCTGTCACCGGCAATACCTGACACTGCTCCCAGCAACACCTGACACTGGCCAGAATTGGCAAAGAGTAGGTGAACAGTGTAGAGGGTGCCAGTGGGTGCTGACACAGTGCACATCAGATCCCCAGGTGGGCTTGGATTTGGAAATGGTGGTGTCTCTGATTGCACTTCAGGGTCCCAAGCAATGTGTGGAGACCAAGAACTAGGACCAGTGGTGGACTGACTCCCTGAGAGAGCTCAGGAGTTTCAGGTAAAATTTCAGCTCAAAATTTCACATTGAAAATAAATACCTCCTCTCCCCATTAATAATAATTTAATGATATCATCAAAGAGGTGTCATCAGGTCTCTGTTCAACAACAACAAAAAATGACAATTGCATGGCACCTTTCGCAATGTCCCAAGGCGCTGGACAATCAGGGATTTGAACCCGAGCAGGGGTTGGGATCGGGGGGCACGTGTGGAGGGCAGGGGTAGGAGGGTGACTGAAAGTGCGGTCGAAAAGGGGGATCTTGAGATGTGCCTTGAAGTAGGCAAGGAGGGAGTGAGGCAAAGGGAATGTGGGATGGAGTTCCAGAGGGTGGGGGCAGAGAGGCTGAAGGCCCGACCGCCGATGGCAGTCTTTTGGTGCCGTTTTGTAGAATTCAGACAGAACGGTTGAAAAAGATTTCACCCTGAAGATTGTGGTCAGACTGAGAGGCACAGACACTCAGCAATTGCCAGCTCACAGTTCAGGCTGTGTAAAGAGTTGTTAGTGGTGGTGCCTATGGGCAGCCCACCCAGAGACCCAGAAACCCTGTAAGCCTGCAGCCCCAGCTCTTGTTTTTTTCTGAAGGTGGTACAGAGATGGGTTAGTAGACTGTGCGACACTGGAGGGCATACTGTAGAGCTCCACCCAGCCCCCCCCCACCATCCTCACACATAAAAATAATCCTTGTATTTGATATAACCCCTTACCATGTCATTGGGATGTCTCAAAGTGCTTCACAGGATATACTGTAAAGTGGTTTGACTATGTAATTTGTGGGTGAAACACACAGCAAGTTGCGCACAGTAGTGTCCAAGAAACAGCCGTGGAGTGAGTGACCAATTTTATTTATTGTGAGGAATTGTTGGCCAGGAAACCATGAGAAACTCCCTTTTCTTTTCGAATAGTGCCATGGGATCTTTAATGTCCACCTATACAGGCAGATGGGACCTTGGTTTAAACATTTCATTTGAAGGACGGCACCTCTGACAATGCAACAACCCTCCAGCGCTGCATTGGAGTGTCATCTTAGACTATGTGAGATCAAGCCCAACGTGAACTGCACGTTCTTTGCTCCGATGAAAACACGCCCAGCCTCTCCAATCTCTCCTCATAATTGTAGCCCTTCATCCCCAGAATCATTTACGTTAGCCTCCTCTGTGCCCCATTCCACGGCCCATCAATTTACTGCTCTCATCCCAGAGTGATCCAATCCTTCCTGACTTATCCTTTTACTTCCATTATGCTTCATAGAATTATGGAATTTGAAAAGAGCTTCCAATTCAACCCCACTCTCTCCCCATAGCCCTGATCAACCCCACTCCCCCGCTCTCTCCCCATAGCCCTGATCAACCCCACTCCCCCCTCTCCCCATAGCCCTGATCAACCCCACACCCCCCCCTCTCCCCATAGCCCTGATCAACCCCACTCCCCCGCTCTCTCCCCATAGCCCTGATCAACCCCACTCCCCCCATAGCCCTGATCAACCCCACTCCCCCACTCTCTCCCCATAGCCCTACAAACTTGTCCTCCCCAAATAATTATCTACTTCTCTCTTAAAAGTTGTTATTGAATCGGCTTCCACCAGCCTTTCAGGCAATGCATTCCAGGAAAGACCTTTTACAGTTTTCCTTTAATGCCGAATGATAGTCTTCAATATTGTTCGAGAGAACTGTTTGATGAGCTGCCGAACCTAAGATGGTGAGGTGAGGAGTCGGGCGGGAGCGATAGTTCCACAGTGAAGATAAAGTGTTACAAAACATGTCTACCCCTGATGTGACCTGAGAACAGTGAGAGCGGCTTGCGACTCCCACAGTCAGCATGGCGTGTGGTCACAGCATGATCCTGAGCCCCAGCCCCAGCCCCAGCACCAACACGACAGAGAGGAGGCTGGAGGTGTGGACTGGGCAGCTGTTGATGGTGGCATCTTTTGAGGCAGACACTCTCCTGCCGTTCAGAGGCTGTGGAGACCTGAAGTTATTCTGCATTTTCTGTTCAGACTCTCCGCGGGCTGAGAAGTACAGAGTGTTTGCAAACTTTATCAACTGGAGAGGGAAAGAATAAACAATAGGATGGATGGAGAGTTGTCACATTTTATTTGCAATAGTAATAATCATAATAAGTCTTATATTTGATGTAGCGCCTTTCACATCTGGAGAACATCTTGAAGCGCTTCACAGTGTTTACACTAAAATGTAGTGATTGTTGTGGAGTCTTGTAGCTCAATGGTTAGAACACTCGCCTTGCAAGCGAGAGACCTGGGTTCAATTCCAGGCAGGGAAACCTTGGGCAAGTTTCCTTACTCTACACCCCCAATAATAATCCCTCCAAAACAATAATAAATTGGTCATTTTCAATCCACGGCTGTTTGTGGGAACCTGCTGTGCGCAACTGGCTGCCGTGTTTCGCCCACTATTCACTTTATAGTATATTCTGTAAAGCACTTTAAGACGTCTAGAAGACGTGATAAGGCGCTATATCAATTGCAAGGATTATTATTATTAGTATTATATCTTGTAGCTGAAAGCGGCAGCTAATTTGCATACAGCAATGTCCCACAGACAGCCATGACGTGAATGCTAAATTCTATTTGGGGGATTGTTGGCCAGGACACCAAGAGAAACCCCCTTCTGATTTCGGGCAACAGGATGTGATGTGGAGTGAGAGACACGAGGCAGCAGGAGGTGGATGGGAGTCAAGACAACACTATCTTGGCAATGTAAGTAATTGACTGACTTTCATTTAATTTACTAATTGGTTAAAATTTAAAATGACAATGTCAGGGTTTTAACTAATTTGGTTACTGCCCGTCCACCAGAAGTTGGGGCTCACCCAATTTTCCATTCCAAGCTACGCCACCGCAAATCATCCAAAGGACGACACTGCAACACATCCCCTGCACTGCACTGCAGTGTCAGTTTAGACTGTTTGAGTTCAAAGTACCGATGTGGAGCTTGAACTTGTAGCCTTCTGACTCAGAGACTAGACTGCTAGCCAGGGGTGGTGATTGTCAAGAGTTTATTTGATTCTATCCCTTCTGTGTGTGGAGTCTCCTCAAACAGTTTCCTGTGATGGACTCTTTGTGAAATAGTTTTGGGTCTAATCTCATTGCGATATCTCCTAAGGACAGACACACACTCTCCCCCTGAACCAGCAAACACACTCATCTGAGGTATGGAACAAGTCACATTGCCTGAGCTTATGACTGAGGAGAAAGATTTGCTCTGGAACCTTCTGACTTGGGAACACTTGATACTGACATTGCAAACCAAGATTTGGAAAACAATTGTGTTCCACTTCCCAGCACTGACAGCCCTCATCTCGCCTGTAAAAAAGGGGAGACAATTCAGTATTGCTGATATTTGGGTTCACTACCCCAGCTACTCACACGAATCTCTGAGCTTTACCTGTGCTTTGCTGATGCTGATCGGCTCCTCAAACACGCTCCAAACCACAGCTTCTGAGCAGTTGGGTGTGGTCAGGGAGCCCTGGTAACGGTAATACTGGGAGAGTCTGGCCACCTTGGGCAGGATGCTGTTGAGTTGAAAGGTAGAGGACAGCCACACCTTGTCACCTGTGAGCAATAAGGCAGAGGAATTGTTTAATGACCAGCAAGCAGCAAAAAGCTCAGAGACGGAGTCTGCAGGTCCTCGTTAGGACATACAACTGATTCTCAAAGCCTCTTCCACCATTTGACTTCCCTGGCTTGTGTCCTGGCTGCTGTGAAGGAGGGCGGCCTCACTTTTTTGTGGAAGAAGCTTTAGGAAAACTCTGACTGATTGAAAGCAGGTTTTAATGGCTGGGTAACAGCCAATCAGAAGCACGGAGTTGGAAGAAAGCAAATTAAATTTTCTATTTTATATAATAATATAATTATAAAATAAATATAATAATATAATGGTAATATAATAATATAATGGTAATATAATAATAATATAATGGTAATATAATAATAATATAATAATATATATCGGGCATAGAAATCAAGATCAAAGAGGGTACTTTAAACTAGGGCAAACTGGAGCTGTGGTTTGGGTTTTGATGACACATCTAGGATCTGACTCCTGGCCCCTCATTATCTGGCTGGTGATGCTGGTACCTTACTCAGCTTTGTTTTTGAAGGATTTAGTTATCCCAGCAACTACTGGGTTCACATTATCTTGCACAATAAAATAAATCTTCTCTCGTCTTCCTTCAGGCTCATCAATGTTAACATTCCGTCTTCAGAGTCAAAGCCACACACAGAAGGGAGATAGAGAAAATAGGGAGGGGAGCAACTGTTTCCATTGGTAGGGGGGTTGGTAACCAGAGGACATAGATTTAGGATAATTGGCAAAACAACCAGAGGGGAGATGAGGAGAATTCTTTTTACCCAGAGAGTCTTTTTACAGTCTGGAATGCACGGCCTGAAAGGGTGGGGTAACAGATCGAATAACAACTTTCAAAAGGGAATTGGATAGGAACTTGAACAGGAAAAATTTAAAGAGCGAGGGAATGGGGCTGATTGGGTAGCTCTTCCAAAGAGCCGGCACAGGCAAGATGGACAAAATGGCCTCCTTCTGTGCTGTGCTGTAATATTCTATGATTCCATATGGCAGCTCCTGCACTATCTACATCCATGTGCACCTCTTCTGCAGTTCATCCACGGCTTTGCCCCCTCCTATCTCTCTGACCTGCTGACTCCCTACCAACCTGCCCGTTTCCTCCGCTCATCAGGCTCCAGCCTGTTCCATGTCTCCCACCCGACCCGCCCTACCATCGGTGGCCGAACTTTCAGCCTCTCGGCCCCCACACTCTGGAACTCCATCCCACAGTCCTTTGCCTCGCTTCCTCCCTCGCCTCCTTCAAGACCGGTCTCAAGACCCTTCTCTTCGATTGTGCTTTCAGTCTCCCTCCCACCTCTCTGCCTTCTCTCACCCCTACACCACTCCTCCCCCATGCTCGGGTCCTGACCCGACTGTTCAGGGCTTTGGGGCGTCCTCCCGACGTTAAAGGTGCTCTATAAATGTCATTTTGTTGTTGTTGTTGTTGTTCAACCTGATAGACATTCAGACTAATGTCTGTAACACCAACAACAACAGCTGGTGTTTATGTTGAGCCGGTGTGTAGAATAACCTCTCTGAGAACGTCACAATAATAATAATAATAATAATAATAATAATCCTTGCATTTGATATAGCGCTTTTCACGTCGGGAGGACATCCCAAAGCGCTTCACAGAACACACTGTAAAGTGAATTGACTGTATTTTTGTGGGCGAACGCGGCAGCCAATTGCGCACAGCAATGTCCCACAAACAGTCGTAGATTGAAAATGACCAATTTATTATCGTTTTTGGTTTTGGAGGATTATTATTAGGCTCTGTGTGGAGTAAGGAAACTTGCCCAAGGTTTCGCCCTCTGCCTGGAATTGAACTCAGGTCTCTCGCTTGCAAAGCGAGTGCTCTAACCACAAGGTCATATCGTACACTGAGCAAGGGAAGAAGGAGAGGAGGAAGGAGGGAGGGATGGGGGGAGGGAGGGAGGGAGGGAGGGAGAGAGGGTGAGACTCAGAGAGGGAAGGAAGTGGGAGATGATCTTAAGCACAGTTGAAGAAGTAGGTTTTTAGGTGGGATTTAAAGACAAATAGAGAGAGGGCGAGACAAAGGGGAGAGGAGGAAGCTCCATAGGTTAGGGATGTGCGGAGCAGAGGAGTGGGGTAGGTGAGGGTTACAGGGATAAAGCACAAAGATGAGGATGGGAACCTTGAAATTGATCCATTAGGAGACAGGGAGACAGTGGTGCCTGACAAGGGCTCGAGTGATGGATATGAGGAGCTGTTAAGTGATTAATAAAACAATTATTTCCTGATTTTATTGACATACTGTGATCAAAGCATACATACCCTGGTGTGACACTTTCTCCAGCACATCAGTGAGCGTGTTGTAGTTGGGGTTATCAGTCTCAGTCACCTGTAAGACACAATGAGGGATATTATTCGGCCATTGTCTATATTAATATTAAATTCATACCTTAGTTCAAATCAACAAACAGAACCTTGTGAAAGGGGATTGAGTGAATTTGCCTGAAAATTAATTTTTTTTTTGGTCTTTGGTCTTTTTTGGTCAATGAATTCCTCATTGTTAAATGGTGCCCAGGGCTGATGATTCACCTAGTCCTTTGTTTCACTGAAACTGTGGGTTTCCACGTAGTGAGCGCCTGATCTCACTCTTGGCCTCAGTTGTAACCCTTTGTTTCTCCCTCATAGAGACACATTTCCATTAAATTATCAGTCAGGAGGCCGGGGTGTCTGGACTCAAATCGGAGCGGTCACATTCCCTCTTCCCTAAAATGCCATTGATCTCACTCTTCCATTGAGTATTGGCCAAAATTCCAGAAGGGAAATATAAATGAAGTTCATGTACAATAACCTTTTTAAAGACAGAATGTTGTGGGATGGAAAATTCTGGGATTGCAGGACTTTTACATATGTCAAGGGAAGAAAGTGGTCAGCTTGAGAGCCAATCAGAGTCAGTGTTTCATAGCACCTCAACCCCCTTGGGCACCAGCAAACAGCTCGGTACAGAGCCAGCTGCTCACTCCACACCCCTTTTATCATGTCACAGGCACGCTCAGTTTATGAAATAATAATAATAATAATCCTTGCATTTGACATAGCGCCTTATTGTGTCTTTGACAGGATATACTGTATTTTGTGGGCGAAACGCGGAAGCCAATTGCGCACAGCAGCGTCTCATTGACAGTCGTGGATTGAGCGATCAAATTCTTCTTATTTTTTNGAAGGGATTATTACCCCCGGAAAAGCGATCCACCAATCGACTAACGTCCAGGTTCCTACTTCCTGCTGGTAAACAGAGGCGTGTGGAGTAAGGAAATTTGCCCAAAGTTTCACCCTGCTGGGAAATGAACCCAGGTCTCTCGCTTGCGAGGCGGGTGCTCTAACCACTGAGCTACAGGACTCCACAGGAAGTAGAATCATAGAAATTTATGGCACAGAAGGCCCATCACAGTCCATTGTGTCTTTGCCAATTCCTCAAGACCAATGCTTTCCCTTACCTGCCCTTTCCCCATATCCCTGTTGCTCATTCTTTCAGGGTTTCTGCCTATTTGCCTCTCGAAGGCCAATATAGATTCTGCTTCAACCACTGCTCCCGGCAGGGCATTCAATATCCTAACCACTGGGTATGTGAAAACACCTCTCCTTGCTCGTAGACCAAGTATCTTAAATTGATACCCTCTGGTTACTGACTCACCAACCAATGAAAATAATTTCACTTTTTTTTTCACTTCATAATTTTACTTCATAATTTTAAAGATCTTGATCAGGTCACCTCCAGCTTTCTTTGTTCCAACAGAAAAAGTCCCAGTTCCTCTAGATTCCGTTCATGGCCTTCATTTCCAAAGCATACCCCCTACTCCTCTGGCTGCTTCCCCTTCTTCGAGCACCTCACCCTCTTCCACCCCTCTCTCATTGAAAATCCTCCTTGTCTACCGCCCCACCTAAGCCCCCCGGCTCCTTCCACACAGACATCTCTACTCTCCTCTCTTCCATGTCCCTCTACTCCGAGCACCTGCTCACAATGGGCAATTTCAACTTCCACCTAAACTCCCCCTGCACTACTTCTGCCGATTTCACTGCCCTCCTCTCCTCCCTAAACCTTACCCTTCATATAAATTCACCCACCCACAACCGTGGTCATGCCCTTGACCTCGTTATCACCCACGGCCTTGACATTTCCGACCTTAGTATAGTGGACAAGGCCATCTCGGACCGCTTCCTCATCTCCTTCTCCTCCCACATCCCACTCTCCTCCACCAAGCCCTCAACCATCCTCTACCGCCCTTGGAAAAGGCTACCCCCTGAGACCCTCACAAAGGCTCTCGCATCATCAAACATCCTATCCCTCTGGCCTTCCACCCGCAGAGATCCTGAAGCAGCCATCCAGCTACTCCATGATCGCCTCTCCTCCACTTTCAACTCCCTCGTACCCTGAAATCCAGACCATCTCCAAACCCACCCAATCCACCGCCTGAAGACCCAAACCCGTCTGCTCGAGCGCAGATTGCAGAAAACTGGCCTGACAGTGGCTCGAGCATCTCCACAGCTACCGCCCTTCCTTGACACGCGCAAAAACGGCTTCTACTCCAACATCATCCTGGAGGCTGAACACAACCCTAAAATCCTTTTTTCCACCACCCACTACCTCCTCCGTGCCCCCCCTCAGGCCTCCTCAATCTTCACATCAAATGCCAAGTGCGAGGAGGTCATGGACTTCTTTTCATCTAAAATACTTACCATCCGCCAGGCAGCCTCAACCACCTGCCTCTTGTCACCCACCACCATGCCCTCTCTGCCCCCCTCACCTTCCCCATCATCTGCTCCTACCACCACCCCCATCCTACATTCCTTCGTCCCCATCTCTCCCTCCTCCCTCTCCACAACCATCACCTCCATGAAACCCACCACCTGCTGCCTCGACCCCCTCTCTACCAACTTACTGGTCACCCAGCTCCCCCTCCTCTGCCCACTACTGGCTGACGTCATCAACCAGTCCCTCCCTGCCCCAATCAAAACTGCTGTCATCACCCCCCTCCTGAAAAAAACCCTCCCTGAATCCCTCAAACCCCAGCCACTACTGCCCTATTTCTAACCTGCCCTTCCTCACAAAAGTTCTAGAACGTGTTGTTGCCAACCAACTCCGCACACACCTCTCCTCCCACTCCCTCTTTGAACCCTCCAGTCCGGTTTCCGCCCACAGTACAGAGACTGCGCTTGTGAAAGTCACAAACAACATCCTCTCTATCTGTGACCAGGGCTCCCTCTGCCTCCTTGTCCTCCTGGACCTCTCTGCCACGTTCGACACAGTCGATCACGCCATCCTCCTCCACCGCCTTTCCTCCGTCATCCACCTCAGTGGGACCGCACTCGCGTGGTTCGAATCCTACTTCACAAACTGCCAGCAGTACATCTGCACAAACGGCTTCTCCTCCCGCTCTCACCCGGTCACCTGCTGGTACCCCAAGGATCCATCCTTGGCCTCCTCCTCTTTCTGATCTACATGCTCCCTCCTGTCATCCGTAGACATGGGGTACACTTCCACATAATAATAATAATAATAATCCTTGCATTTGATATAGCGCTTTTCACGTCGGGAGGACGTCCCAAAGAGCTTCACAGGACACACTGTAAAGTGAATTGATTGTATATTTGTGGGCGAACGCGGCAGCCAATTGCGCACAGCAATGTCCCACAAACAGTCGTAGATTGAAAATGACCAATTTATTATTGTTTTTGGTTTTGGAGGGATTATTATTAGGCTCTGTGTGGAGTAAGGAAACTTGCCCAAGGTTTCGCCCTCTGCCGGGAATTGAACTCAGGTCTCTCACTTGCAAAGCGAGTGCTCTAACCACTGAGCTACAGGACTCCACATGTACTCACATGACACCCAACTCTATTTTTCCACCTCTCTTTGCGACCCCCAGTCCCCTGATGTTCTGCCTGTCAGATCTCAGAGGCTGGATGAGCGCAAACTTCCTTCAGCTGAACATTGACAAGACGGAAGCCATATTCTTTGGCTCTCGTCAACATCTAAAATCTCACGGTTCTCACCTCCTCCACCTACTCGACATCCCCCTAAAACTCTCCGAACCTGTACTCAACCTGGGCATCAGGTTCGACCCCCAATTGTCCTTCCTCCCCCACATCCGGTCCCTCACCAGCACCGCCTTCTTCCACCTACGACACATCGCCCGTCTCTGCCAATACCTCTCCCCAAAAGCCACTGAAACCCGGGTCCATGCCTTTGTCACCTCTCGGCTGGACTACTCTAACGCCCTCCTCACCGGTCTTCCCTCCACTGCCATCCATAAAATCCAAATCATTCAGAACTCTGCCGCCTGCATTCTCACCCGCACCAAACTCCGCTCCCCGATCCCCCCAGTCCTGACCAGACTGCACTGGCTCCTGTCCCAGAGAGGATCCACTTCAAGATCCTCACTCTGGTCTTCAAATCCCTCCACTCCTCTGCACCCCCGACCTCTCTGACCTCCTCTCTCCTCAAAACAGTACCCGTTGCCTTCGTTCCTCCGGGTCTGGCCTCCTCCTCGTCCCCCGAGTCCTCCGCTCCACCTTCGGCAGCTGTGCCTTCAGCCACTGCACCCCGAGGCTCTGGAATTCCCTTCCTCACTCCTTTCGTCTCGCTCCCTCCCTTCCCATTTTCAGGTCTCGGCTGAAGACCTTTCTTTTCGACCGCGCCTTTGGTCACCTTCCCCCCCTCCCCCTGGCTCCCCCCCTGGCTCCCCCCCTGGCTCCCCCCCTGGCTTCTCCCCCTCCCCCTGACTCAGCCCCGGGATCCGTTACTGTAAAGCGCTCTGAGACGCCGCCCGGCTTGGAGGGCGCTATATAAATCCAAGTTGTTGTTGTTGTTGGATAAACTACTCATCCCCGGTCTCATCCTAGTAAATCTCCTCCACAACCCTCTGTTCCCTGACGTCTTTCCTAAAGTGGGGTGACCAATATTGGACCCAATGTTCCTACTACGGACTAACAATTTATTCTTCTGTCGAAAGGTCATCAACCTGAATGTTAACTCATTTTCCTCTCCACAGATGCTGCCGACTTGCTGTGTGTTCCCGGCAGATTCTGTTTTTATTTCTGATTTCCAGCATCTGCAGTATTTTGCAGGGCAGGGCAGGGGAGGGCAGGGGAGGGCAGGGCAGGGGAGGGCAGGGGAGGGGAGGGGAGGGCAGGGGAGGGGAGGGGAGGGCAGGGCAGGGGAGGGGAGGGGAGGGGAGGGCAGGGGAGGGAGCGGAGGGGAGGGCAGGGCAGGGCAGGGCAGGGCAGGGCAGGGGAGGGCAGGGCAGGGGAGGGCAGGGGAGGGGAGGGGAGGGGAGGGGAGGGCAGGGGGGAGGGGAGGGGGGGAGGGCAGGGCAGGGCAGGGAGGGGAGGGGAGGGGAGGGGAGGGCAGGGGAGGGCAGGGAGGGGAGGGGAGGGGAGGGGAGGGCAGGGGAGGGATGGGGAGGGCAGGGGAGGGGAGGGGAGGGGCAGGGCAGGGAGGGGAGGGCAGGGCAGGGCAGGGCAGGGGAGGGGAGGGGAGGGGAGGGGAGGGGAGGGCAGGGCAGGGCAGGGCAGGGCAGGGCAGGGGAGGGCAGGGCAGGGGAGGGCAGGGGAGGGGAGGGGAGGGAGGGCAGGGGAGGGGAGGGCAGGGCAGGGCAGGGCAGGGCAGGGGAGGGGAGGGGAGGGGAGGGGAGGGCAGGGAGGGCAGGGCAGGGGAGGGGAGGGGAGGGCAGGGGAGGGCAGGGGAGGGGAGGGGAGGGGGGGGGGAGGGCAGGGCAGGGGAGGGGAGGGGAGGGGAGGGAGGGGAGGGGAGGGCAGGGCAGGGCAGGGCAGGGCAGGGGCAGGGGAGGGGAGGGAGGGGAGGGAGGGAGGGCAGGGCAGGGCAGGGCAGGGCAGGGCAGGGGAGGGGAGGGGAGGGGAGGGAGGGGAGGGCAGGGAGGGCAGGGCAGGGCAGGGCAGGGCAGGGGAGGGGAGGGGAGGGGAGCGGAGGGGAGGGGAGGGGAGGGCAGGGCAGGGGAGGGGAGGGGAGGGGAGCGGAGGGGAGGGGAGGGGAGGGGAGGGGAGGGGAGGGGAGGGGAGGGGAGGGCAGGGCAGGGCAGGGCAGGGAGGGCAGGGGAGGGGAGGGCAGGGCAGGGCAGGGCAGGGCAGGGCAGGGGAGGGGAGGGCAGGGCAGGGCAGGGGAGGGCAGGGGAGGGGAGGGCAGGGGAGGGGAGGGAGGGGAGGGGAGGGGAGGGGAGGGCAGGGCAGGGCAGGGCAGGGCAGGGGAGGGGAGGGAAGGGAAGGGAGGGTAGGGTAGGGTAGGGTAGGGAGGGAGGGCAGGGCAGGCAGGGCAGGGGAGGGCAGGGGAGGGGAGGGCAGGGAGAGGGCAGGGCAGGGCAGGGGAGGGCAGGGGAGGGGAGGGCAGGGAGGGCAGGGGAGGGCAGGGGAGAGCAGGGCAGGGGAGGGGAGGGGAGGGGAGGGCAGGGCAGGGCAGGGCAGGGCAGGGCAGGGCAGGGGAGGGCAGGGGAGGAGAGGGAGGGCAGGGGAGGGGAGGGGAGGTGGAGGGCAGGGCAGGGCAGGGCAGGGCAGGGCAGGGGAGGGAGGGGAGGGGAAGGGAGGGGAGGGGAGGAGAGGGCAGGGGAGGGGAGGGGAGGGCAGGGTAGGGCAGGGCAGGGCAGGGGAGGGGAGGGGAGGGGAGGGGAGGGCATGGGAGGGGAGAGCAGGGCAGGGCAGGGAGGGGAGGGCAAGGCAGGGGAGGGGAGGGGAGGGCAGGGGAGGCCACGGCAGGGGAGGGGAGGGCAGGGGAGGGCAGAGGAGGGCAGGGCAGGGCAGGGGAGGGCAGGGCAGGGCAGGGGAGGGGAGGGCAGGGCAGGGCGGGGCAGGGCAGGGGAGGGCAGAGGAGGGCAGGGCAGGGGAGGGCAGGGGAAGGAGGGGAGGGGAGGGAGGGGAGGGGAGGGAAGGGAAGGGAAGGGAAGGAGGGGAGGGAAGGGAAGGGAAGGGGAGGGGAGGGGAGGGCAGGGCAGGGAGGACAGGGCAGGGCAGAGGAGGGCAGGGGAGGGGAGCGCAGAGGAGGGGAGGGGAAGGTAGGGTAGGGTAGGGTAGAGCAGGGCAGGGCAGGGCAGGGCAGGGCAGGGCAGGGCAGGGGAGGGGAGGGCAGGGCAGGGGAGGGCAGGGCATGGGAGGGCAGGGGAGGGGAGGGCAGGGGAGGGGAGGGCAGGACAGAACAGGGAAGGGCAGGACAGGGAAGGACAGGGCAGCGGAGGGCAGGGCAGTGGAGGACAGGGCATGGGAGGGCAGGGCAGGGGAGGGCAGGGGAGGGCACACACACACTCACATACACCACCCCCCCCACACACACACACACACACACACACACACACACACACACACACACACACACACACACACACACGCACCACCCCACACACACAGACCCCTCACACACATGCACATCCACCACCCCACACACATCCACCCCCCACACACACCCACACCACCCCACCCACACCCCACACACACCCACCCCCACACACACTCACACCACCCCACCCACACCCCACACACACCCACACCCCCCACACACCCACACCCCCCACACACACACACCACCCCACCCACACCCCACACACACCCACCCCCACACACACCCACACCACCCCACACACACCCCACACACACCCCACCCCCCACACACACCCACACCACCCCACCCACACCACCCCACCCACACCCCACACACACCCACCCCCCACACACACCCACACCACCCCACCCACACCCCACACACACACACCCCCACACACACCCACACCACCCCACCCACACCCCACACACACCCACCCCCCACACACACCCACACCACCCCACCCACACCCCACACACACACACCCCCACACACACCCACACCACCCCACCCACACCCCACACACACCCACCCCCCACACACACCCACACCACCCCACCCACACCCCACACACACCCACCCCCCACACACACCCACACCACCCCACCCACACCCCACACACACCCACCCCCACACACACACACACCACCCCACCCACACCCCACACACACCCACACCCCCACACACCCACACCCCCCACACACACACACCACCCCACCCACACCCCACACACACATTCACCACCCCACACAACCCCCCCTCCCCCCCCCCACACACACACACCTCACAACAACAAAACCTTAAAAGTTAGGAAAATGAGAGAAACCTTTATTCTCGAGTACATCTCAATGTAGAAACGTCTCAGGTCTTTCACCGGACCTGGAATCATTAAACTTTCAGCTTATCTTGTAACAGTTAAATTGTGTTCAAGTTTATGTTACTGTCCCTTGTGATGCCAGCTCCTCCACATCTTATTATTATTAATATTATTATCATTATATTGTTATCATTATTATTGTTATACCTCTGGACTGAAAGTCAATGAGAGTCAAGACGATGGAGTCTGAGCCCAGATTGTAGTGACAGAACAGCTCTTCATGGGACCAGGTGAGGCGGGAATGAGAAAACTCCTTTGTGTCAAAGCGGGCAAACCAGACAAGTAATGGCCCTGATGCCTAACAATGAATAAGAAAGGTTTGTGAAATGGCTAGAGAGGACAACTGATATTGTCCAGAAAACTCCCTTGAAAAAAGTAGATGGCAAGAATGAAAATCTTCATCATACATATATATATTGTTGTGGTGATATTTTGAGTTCATTTCCTGACATTCAGAACATCTGCTTTGGGTCAAACATATGAAGGGCACAATCTGACAATCTGAAGCATAGACAAAAGCATATGTTGACAACATAAAAACAGAAGTGGCTGGGAGCACTCAGCAGGTCAGGCAGCATCTATGGAGAGTGGAAAGTAACGTTTGGTCATTGACCTGAAATATTAATTTCACTTTCCTCTCTCCATAGATGCTGCCTGACCTGCTGAGTGTTCCCAGCCACATCTGCTTCTACTTTGAGATTTCCAGCATCTACAGTCTTTTGCCTTTTGTTGATGACTGAACCTCACTATAATTGTCTGTAAATGTTTGTTACAAATGTAACATGAAGGATAGATGTTTGAGACTAAAATCTAGATGCCACACTCCGACAATCCACACAAGCAACATATTTACAACGGAAACAATGTCAAAGTTACAGAAAGCTGTGGAGAAGCCTCTCTGTGTCACTGTCCACTGGCACCATGCCTTTGGTCACCCTCCCACCCACACCCGCCCTGTCCTCCACCCCTCCTGACCCCAACTCCCAGCTCGGGCCCAAAAAACTCTGAATATCCAGCGCCCTGGACGTCTTTCCGATGTGAAGGGTGCTATATGAGTGTAATTTGTTGTTGTTGTTGTTTATGGTTTGGAGCATCTTAAAATGTGGCATTGTTGGCCACAACCCTTTCACGACAGTTATGCTTCATAGCGGAATTTCAACTGCCTGTGACCGTAAATCCACAGTTGCTTAATCTACTGTGAAGGTCAGAAAAACGTGCAGACATCTGTGCCATCAAGAAAATGCTGACAGACACCACCCCCCCACCCATTGAGGGAGGTGCCATCGCCTTAAAAAAGAATTTTGAAAAAAGCTTATTTTACTTATTTGTTGGTTTTAGACCCAGCCTACAATAAAAACTTACCATATTGCCACGATCGAGTTACCCAAACCAAACTGTTTGCCAAACACATTTTCACTAACATAGCACTGATCGTTGATAAAATAAATCAATTTTACTCAGCTCTTGTCATGGTAAATGGGACCTCATAACACTGAAGCATAACTTTGACAGTAAAAATTCAATCAGTTTAGTAATTCTGCTTCCACCTCCTGGGGACTTCCCTGGTTACAAAGATCACTTAGAAGAGCAGACATTTTTCATACCTCAAGCATAAATCCCAGAACTGCTAATCCGTCCGTTTTCTTCAATGCATCACGGATATCCGTGTACCTCTCACTCATGTGGACGATGTGAAGCTGTGGAGACAGGAACCTGATTAGAAAAAGTCTACACAGTTACCAGATCTGAATGGAAAGGACACTGATCTGCACTGGTTGTCAAAACAATTCCAAATTGAGAAGGTTTAAAGATTACAGCAACAACTTGTGTTTATGTAGTTCCCTTCATGTGCGTAGCATCTCTGAGAACTTACCAGTGGCAGAACTTAACGCCACGTCGGGGGGAGGGGGGATGAGATGTTGATGGACTGGTCAAAGAGAAAGGTATTCAGATGTGATCTGAAAACAGGCAAGGAGGGGGCAAGGCGGAGGGATTGAGGCAGAGAGTTCCAGGGTTTGGGGGCGTCGCGGCTGAAAGCACAGCCGACGATGGTGAAGCAGAGGAGACGAGGGATGTACAGAAGGCTGAAGGGACCTGAGCAAACAGGGCAAGTAGTGGAAGTCGGGAGGAGACAGGGAGCGAATTGATTTGTAAGTAAATATGAGGATCCTGAAATCGATCTATTCTGCAATAAGGATCCAAAGTATCATCAGGGACTGGGGTGATTTGGAGTTTGTACAAGTGAGAATACAAGTGGGGGAATTTCGATATGATGGGGAAGTTAAGTATTTCGGAGCCGCAGATTGACGGAGTATGGCTTCCATCTTGCTAACATTTAGCTACATAAAGTCCTGATGTCCGACAAATAAGTGGATAGAATATGGGTGGACCTGGGGTTGCGGCTGGAGGAGAAAAAGTAGTGTTATCCGCATGTGGACATTTACTCCATGTCTACGGATGACATCACCAAGAGGGAGCATGTAAACGAGGAAAAGGCGGGAGCCCAGGATAGAGCCTTGGGTACGGACAGGTGACTCGTGAGGGGAAGAGGAAAAAACATTTGCGGAGAATTATTGAAAGACGTGGACATCATCAACAAAAATGGAATGTGTTGAACACTCAGAGAGACATGTAAACTAACAACAACAAAGTACACTTGTAGAGCGCCCATCACATCGGAAAGACATCCCAGCAGTGAGTTTGGGGGCCTGACAGAAATCAACTTTGTTGCTAATTTGTTGACATGCCCATCCATAACCTGAATCTAAATCAGATCAAAATGGGCCAAAGTCCTGATTTTTAATGAACAACTGAACATTAAATCCAGGATCTGGAGTTTTGATGCAGTGCTCAGCAACATTTCACCCACAAAATATACAATTCATTCACTTTATAGTGTATCCTGTGAAGCGCTTTGAGAAATCTAGAAGGCGTGATAAGGCACGATATCAAATGCAGGGATTATTATTCTTTATTAATTTATTAATATGATTCGATATTAAACTTGGACGTTCACAATGTTTTAATGTATCTGAATTTTAATTATAAAATTCCGTGTAATCCTGAATATTCAACTACCAAATAATTGGTTGCAACACAACTAAATTGGGTCTGTTTCATGTCTCCCACCCTACCCATTCCACCATCAATAACAACAACAATTTGCATTTATTTAGCGCTTTTCACGTGGGGCAGCGTCCCAGAGCGCTTGACAGTGGCAGAGTGTGACCCTGAACCGGGGGAAGAGGGAGGGTGGAGGTGACCGGAAGCACGATCAAACAGGAAGTTCTTTAGGCAGGATCTGAAAGTGGGGCAGGAGGGGGCAAAGGGGGAGGGATTGAGGGAGAGAGTTACAGAGTTTCGGGGTGTAGTGGCTGAAGGCATGGCCACAAATGGTGGAGCAGAGGGGGTGAGGGACAAACAGGAAGCTAGAGCTGGCTGAGTGGAGGCAGCGGGTGGTGGAGTGGGGGGGGTGGTGAGCAAAAAGGATGGGTAGGTAGGTAGGTAGGGAAGGAGGGAGGGAGGGAGGGAGGGAGGAAGGGATGGAGGATGGGAGGGAGGGAGGGAGGTGCCAGGGCGCGAAGGGATTTGAAAATGAGTGAGAGGATCTCGAAATTGATCCATTCAGTAATTGGGAGCCAGTGGAGGCTGGCAAGGCTGGTGTGATGGGAGTACGGAGTTCAGTGTGGGTGAGTATCCAGGTGGCGGAGTTCTGAATCAATTGGATTTTGTGTATGGTGGGTCTGGGGAGACCAGCGAGGAGGGCATTGGAATAGTCCAACCAGGAAGTGACGATAGTTAGGTTTTCAGCCTCTCTGCTCCCACTCTCTGGAACTCCATTCTGGACTCCCTCCGTCCCTCTCCTCCCTCCCCCACCCCCCTCGCTCCCTCCCCTCGCTCCCTTCCCCCCCCCCCCCCCCCTCCTCCCCCACCTTCCTCTTTCAAGGTCCATCTTTCAAGACCTTCCTATTTGACCACGCATTTGGTCATCTTTACCCCCCCCAGAGCTGCTTGGCTCCCCCCCCCCAGCTCGGGTGCTCAGGCAGAACTGCCAAACACCTTTGAAGTTCTTCCTGATGTGAAAGAGATTTATAAATAAAAAAACATTGTTTTGTATTGTGTGTTTTTGAGACACAGCTCGAGTTTGAAACCTCAAAGACTGTGTAAAGTGCAAAATGAAGAAGAGAGAGACTGGTTTGTTACCTCCATTGGATACTGCTTCTTATTGATAGTGTGTTCTGAGCCATAACTCAAGCCGTTTCCCCAATGAAAATGTAGCTGCAGTGCTTTGTATTTACCCACCAAGCCTCCACCACTGATAGACACGTTTGTATCCAGTGTTACCTGAACTATAAGAATACAACACAGCGAGAGTTATTGTATGTAGCTAACAGATAAAGAAGGAATAACAACAACGTGCACTTATATAGCATCCCCCACGCCGGGCAGCGTCTCAGAGCTCAACAATGGTGGAGCCCGAGCCGAGCCGGGGGGGGGGGGGGAAGGTGACCATAGGCGCGGTCGAAGAGGAAGGTCTTCAGGTGCGACCTGACGATGGTGAAGGAGGGGACGAGGCCAAGGAGTTGAGGGAGGGAGTTCAAAAGCTTCGGGCTGTAGTGGCTGAATGCACGGCCGCCGATGGTGGAGCGGAGGATTCGGGGGACACGGAGGAAGCCGGACCCAGTAGAGGGTATGGAGGGAATTAAACACTAGAGTGAGGATCTTGAAGTGGATGCGCTCTGTGACAGGAGCCAGTGGAGTTTGACCAGGACTGGAGTAATGGGGCTCAGGAGTCTGGTGCAGATGAGAATACAAGTGACAGAGTTTTGATTGAGCTGCATTTTTTGAATAGTGGAGGAGGGGAGACCAGGGAGGATATTGACCATTGATTGAATTGATCAGATTAACACAGTCGCTCGTCTGTTTGCACATAATGTGGGGCGTATAAGGATAGTACCTGAATGTCCATTGTTAGCGATAGACCATTGTCCTGGAGGTACTGTGCTGTACCCTTCAAAAACGAAATGTTGTAGATTGTTATCCCTGTCTACGTTACTCATGTCAATGTTGATAGGAGATTGGCTTTTGCCTCCACAGGTACTTTGTATTTCTTTCCAGTGTTTAGGTCCTGAAATAGGAGGAAGATGTTTGTAGGATCTATTACAGTTTGAAAGTCTTTCAGAATATTCAACAATTTGCATTTATACAACACCTTTCACACACAGCCAGGTCTCAGAGCATTTGTTGTTTTGTTGTCTCAAGCTACACTCCCAGTATTTTCCAAAGCTGATAGACTTTCCCAAATAAGTTCATTTGCAAAATATGGTAATTAAATATAGACTGAAACAATACAGGAAATATATACACAAACTCGAATCCAGAAAAGCAGAAGTGAATTTGCTAAAATAATCATACAATAAAATAATTTAAATAAATGACTCCAATGCCGTCCTCACCGGTCTCCCCAGCTCCACTTCCCGCAAACTACAACTGATTCACAATTCCGCTGCCCGTATTCTCACCCACACTAAACTCCATCCCCCCATCGCCCCAATCCTCACTCAGCTCCACTGACTCCCCATCACAGAACGGATCAATTTCAAGATCCACACACCCATCTATAAATCCCTTCACACCCTGGCCCCTCCCGACCTCTCTGACCCACTTTCTTCCCACTCCATTACCTGCTGCCTCTGCTCAGCTGGGTCTGAGCTCCTGCTTGTCCCTCGTACCCTTCGCTCCACCATTGGCGGCCGCGGTTTCAACCACTACACTCCAAGGCTTTGGAACTCTCTCCCCCAATCCCTTTGCCATACTCTTTGCCTTACCCTCTTTTAGATCACAACTGAAGACCTTCCTCTTCGACCGTGCTTATAGTCACCTCCTCCCTCCCCCGACTCGGTATCAGGCTCCGCCACTGTTAAGCGCTCTGAGACGCTGCCCTGCAGTAAGGGCGCAATATAAATGCAAGTTGTTGTTGTTTGAGTTCTTGCCTGTCAATCAATTTCTTCTCCAATAGCTGTTTATTGGCCTCCTCGAGCAATAATAAAATTAACAATAATACTGCTTGTAATTGATATAGTGCTTTATCGTGTCATTGAGACGTCTCAAAGCACTTCACAGGATATACTCTGAAGTGGATTAAAGTGAGCAGTTGATCCCTTATGTTCACTGAAGTAGATTTACACAGCGAGAGGTGTAGGAATACGGGCAATGGAGGTAGATTGTGCGAGGAAGTACATTTGGAAATGAGATAGCTATTGGAGAAAAATCATTTTGTTCGCTGTGGGCTATTCTGCTATAATAATTTTAGCACATTTGTTGCCAATGTTCTTATAAATAACTAATAATAATAATCCTTGCATTTGATAACCTCCCCGTAATTGGGTACAACTATTCAAATAACTGACGGTGTCAAACAATTCATTCAGAAACTGGATACACTTTCTAATAGATTAATGATAATAATCCTTGCATTTGATACAGCGCCTTATCACGTCTTCGAGACGTCTCACAGAGTGCACTGTAAAGTGAATTGACTGCATATCTTGTGGGCAAAACGCGGCAGCCAATTGCGCACAGCAGTGTCCCACAAACAGTCATGGATTGAGGGACAATTTTTTTTTAAGAAGGTTTATTACTCCTGGAAAAGCAATCCGACAATCAGCTAACAACCGGGTTCCTGGTTACTGCTAGATAAACAGGTGTGGGGAGTAAGGAAACTTGCTCAACATTTTGCCCTGCCCAGGGATTGAGCCCAGGTCTCTCAGTGGCAAGGTGAGTGCTCTAACCACTGAGTTACAGTAGTTTAGAGCACTGAGTTAATTACCTCCATACCTTGCCCCCTCCCCCCCCCCCCCCATCTCTCTAACCTCCTCTCTCCCCACAGCAGTACCTACTGCCTCCACTCTACTGGGTCCAGCCTCCTCCGTGTCCCCCGAATCCTCTGCTCCACCATCGGCGGCCGTGCATTCAGCCACTACAGCCCGAAACTTTGGAACTCCCTCAACTCCTTGGCCTCGTCCCTTCCTTCTCCATCGTCAGGTCGCCCTGAAGACCTTCCTCTTCGACCGCGCCTATGGTCACCTTCCCCCTCCCCCCGGCTCGGCCTCGGGCTCCACCATTGTTAAGCTCTGAGACGCCGCCCGGTGTGGGGGGTGCTATATAAGTGCACGTTGTTGTTGGTGTTGTTGCTCTAACCACTGAGCTACAGGACTCCACAGTGTAAGTTGATATTCATAGTATCACACAGAACTAATCCTCATTCCTAAATCTACCACATTCCAAAACAAAGGTCAAAAAACTCACAATCTGAGAACTTTGCTGGTTCCTTGATTTGGATCGACTAATTTTGGGTGATATCTCACTCCCCACTGGGTGGTGCTGCAACAGACTGCTGCCCAAGCCTTGTGGTACACGGTCGGATTGTGATGGATTTGCCAGGAATGCTCTACTTCCAGTCAGGGATGTACCCATTACAAGTGAAGTCATCGAGGTGCAGATCTCTGCTGAAACACACATTCAGCGGCTGCCCTCTCTGGTTGCGCAGTCTCTCCAGCTTCCTCTTTTTACTGATTTTAGAATCCACTTTATTAAAGTTAATGTAGAGCATTGATAACGTGCAGATTTACAACTGATACACGCACAGAGGTCAATGTAGATCTATTATAGTTGTCATACAGTGAACCCACCTTCACCTGCAGTCTTTGCTGGTCTCTCATTATCTGGGCATATTCATGGTCTAATAATAATAATTGTTGCATTTGATATAGTGGTTTATCATGTTGTTGAGATGTCTCAAAATGCTTGACAGGATTTACTGTAAAGTGTAGTGACTGTGTATTTGCAGGTTAATACAACAGCCTATCTGCACACTGCAATACTGAACAACTAATTTTATTTGGGGGATTGTTGGCGAGGGCTCCTGGAGAAACTCCCTTCACTTTCCAAATATTGCTACAAGACTTTTTAATGACCTGAACAGGCACATTGAACCTCGGTTTAACGTTTCCATCTGTAGGATGTCACCTATCTCCATGACCTCCCAGCATTACACTGGAGTATTGACCTGCTCTAGACTGTGAGTTCAAAGTCACATCATTGGAGCTTGAACCCAGAACCGTCTGACTCAGTGTTGAGAGTGTTACTAACTGAGCCGGGCTGACACTGTGACATATTGGCAGAACTAGGATTCACTTCTTTATTTTGCTGTCAGTGAGTTAAGGGAAGGAAATGCTTTAAAGAAACAGGCTTATGGTAGCATCCCTAGAGCAAATGAAGGTGCCTTATTAAAACATTCAGAGCTGCAGAGCTTTAATAGTGATACTGCACTCCCTCTCTTTTTGCAGTGAAATGTTCAGCTTCTACTTTGCCAAAAGTCCACGGTTTGAAATCAAGGGTTTAGCAATGGGCCTTGTGTGCCCATTATTCTGTGGATCAGGGATTTGGAGCATTTCGGAGAGTTGCCCTCTACAAGGCACTCCTATCCTGGAGATTTACAAAAAGGCTGTGTGTGATGTGAATCTATTAATACAGATACATTAAAAGAAACATTGGAGTCAAACAGAAATACCACTGAAAATCTCAAAAATAATAATAATCCTTGCATTTGATTTAGCGCCTTATCACGTCTTCAAGAGTCTCAAAGCGCTTCACAGGATATACTGTAAAGTAAATTGACTGCTACCTAGCGTGTGGAGTAAGGAAACTTGCCCAATATTTTGCCTTGCCAGGAATAGAGCCCAGGTCTCCTCACTTGCGAGACAAGTGCTCTAACCACTGAGTTACAGGGCTCCATTTGTGGTGAAGCATTTCACATTCTCCCATTATCTGTGTTTAAAAAAAAACTCTTTTAAAAAAAACTCCCCATTTTTCTACCAGTAATCCTCAATTGATGCCCTGTTGCCTTTGATTTACCAAATAGTGGAGATAATCTTTCTCTATTTAGTTCATCAATAATATATATATAATTTGAAACATTTCTATTGGATTCACCTGTAATTTTCTTGTTTCCATGTGTAAAAAAAAGCTCCAACCTTCTGTTTAAAATGTCTCCTAACATCCCGTTCAGCTTTTTCTGGTAATAATGCTCAATTTATGCATTAACCAATGCATCAAGTGTTTCTGACTTTGCAGGTCATTCAGCAACACTTGATGCCTTGGTTAATGCATAAATTGAGGATTAAATCTTCTATTTATTTATCTTTTTTCACCATCTTTCTTTTGTCCCGCAGCGTAATTAATAATATATATCTTATTACTTCAAATCCTGTTCCCAATCAAGCATCCCAAAGGAAAACTTGAAGAGCAGCTAGCCTAGAATACCTCTCCAAGCTGATTCATCAATGACAGAAACTCCTTTCGGCTACAGGACAACATGTGGCAGGAGGGAGTCTCTCTATTAAGCGACAGGAAAAAATAGCAACAGTAATATTCACTTCTGTTCAGGGAGGGAGTGCATTACAGAACAAACTGTATTCCTTACTTAACACTCAACCATCAACTCTGGTGAATTAACGGTACACATAATAAAATCCTTGCAAACTCCTGTGTTTGTGAGAGGAGATGAGCATGAAGAGAGCGTGAGTGAGTGTGTTAGAAAGGAGTGAGAATGAAAGGTGTGAGAAAAAAGAGATACCCTGGTGCCCTCCTGGAGGCTATGTGATACTTCCATGGTAATAACAATCCGTACAATTGCTGTAGTGCTTTCACATCGGGAGTAAGGCTCAAAGCGCTTCACAAGAATATACTGTAAAGTGAATTGACTGTATATTTTGTGGGCGAAACATGGCAGCCAATGGCACACAGCAGCGTCCCCACAAACAGTCATGGATTGAAGTGATCAAATTATTTTTTGAGGGATTATTACCCCCAGAAAAGTGATCCGCCAATCAACTAACAACCGGATTCCTACTCACTGCTATAGAGGTGTGTGGAGTAAGGAAACTTGCCCAACGTTTCGCCCTGCCCAGGAATCGAACCCAGGTCCTCTGGCTTGCTCTCGAGTGTTCTTGTTACACCAAGTGCGTGTTTTACACATAAAAGACGCTAGGCAGACAGAGTTTAAAAAAGAGTTGTATTATTCAACATTTTGTGTATTACAAGACCTGTCCAATGATCCGGCTGGGG